TCCTTGGTGGGTTTCTGTAAGGAAGAAGACACAGAGAGAAGATTCCTCCAAATGAGGAGGAATTCCTCCAAAGGTCTGTGGAGCCCAAAGCAGCAGGTGCCAGCAGCAGGGCCTCTGGGAATGAGCACTGGGTTCTGCCTGGGCACCGACCACAGGTGCCTCACCTTGTACAGTGGACCTGGTCCCTTCTAATCATTTTGTGGGCTTGGATGATACGGGCAGTGCAAAAATAGTGCTGGGCTGAAGACTGGAAGCCCCTCTCTTGTTTCTGTAAATATTTTGAAATTTTGTTTGATTCTGGGGAGCTGAGGGGAGACCAACAAGGATCAGACTGACTTTCCTACCAGTCAGGCAAAATGCAGTCTCCGAGGAATATTTCATTTCAATTAAAATACCATAGAGCACAAACCCACATTTATGGGGCAATGTTTGTGTCTGCTATAGTCTGAATAGCACTGGGTTTATTATTGTCTCTTATTCCCCTCCTGTGAGGCAGAAATGGGGATTTGGTGACTCAAATCCTTAAACAATTAAAACAAACCAACAAGCTCTCCAATATAAATGTTAATTTCTTGTTTTTAAATGACTGGTTTTAAATTAAAATGGAGAAAACAGCTTTACAACTGGACAGTTTTGATTCACTAAAATAATACCAGCAAGGTAAGCTTGCATAAAACCATTTTTCTATGTATTAGGTAGATCTGCTGTGTCTCCCAGTGTTGGCAGGGTGGCCTTATGTTGTAGGTGTCCAGTGGGACTGAGTAGTGCAGGCCCTTTGATCCTCTAGCTGGGTGCTCCGGGAATGTCCCTTGTGTGGGTTAGGTGGGCCCTCCTGTTGTAACTGAGTCTTGATTTCTATTGGCCTGTTCATGTGTGGGATTGACCCTCAGGCTGGCTGGCTGTGAGGCTCAACCCTGACCACACTGTGTAAGCTTGTGTGTTGCTACTGACTACACTCAGTGGAATTTGTCTCAGCAGGGTCTGGTGCTTGCCAAGATCTCCCATTGGATATACTGTGTGCAGAGCTTATTGGATCCTGCTCTGATGTTATCTGAAGCTGGCCACTGGGTGTGTTGGTTTCTGGGGCCTCTTGGGAGGGACTCTGGTGCAGGCCAATGCAAGACACTGCCTGTGACCGGTCCTTGGCAACCTGTTTGGAACTACAAGTGATCCACAGTTTGTGGCTGCCTCTGCTTGGCCTGGGTGCATGGAGGAAGGACCAAGCTGCACACTACGGCTAGCTTTTATCAGCACAGGGCCCAGGGCACCCCAAAGCACCCCAAGATCCACCTCCAACTGTCGGCTGCCTGTTAAGCTCAGGCATTGAAAGAACCTCTGGCTGTATTCCTCAGCAGGGCATAAGCTCCATGGGGTGAGTAAATTGCTTTCAAGTAAGAGTAAGGGTTATAATTAAGAGTCATGTGATAAGTCTTGGTAAAGCCTTTTTGTTATACTTCCCAGAAAGGGAGAAAGCAAAGAATTCTAATAGCTTGGTAATAAATCTTTTTGTAGGTCAGGTCATTTCATATCCATTGCTTCCAAGAAATTTGAAAGGAGATCTCAATAAACTGTCACTGGATAGACCATTACAATTATTTTTTATGACAATAGAAATTAATTATTTTTGTGACATTTGGAAAATAACTCATGAATTCAATAATTGAGTGGCATCGTTGTAATAAACTTCTTTCATTCCCATCTAAATATTTGTGTGAACAAAATACTTCAGCACTTACATCTATAACAAGAAATCCTATATAATAAAAGGGTAATATACAAATCGATCGAATGGCAGAACTGGTCTCTATGACGTGCACTGACCATCAGGAGGCAGATCTCAATGCAGGAGCTGCCCCCTGGTGGTCAGTGTGCTCCCACAGGGGGAGCACCGCTCAGCCAGAAGCAGGCTCATGGCTGGCAAGCACAACAGCGGCGGGGAGGCCTCTCTTCTGCCTCAGCAGCAGCACTAAGGATGTCTGACTGCGGCTTAGGCGGGGAGTGGGCCTAAACCATCAGTTGGACATCCTCCAAGGGCTCACAGACTGTGAAAGGGTCCAGGCTGGGCTGAGGCCCCCCTCCCCCAAGTGCACAAATGTCATGTATCGGGCCTCTAGTATAGGAATAAAACCAATGTTAAACTATGTCTGATTCTAGCAATAATAAATTCATCCACAAATAATGAGATCCGCTCATCTCATTTGACACCAAACAGGTTAAATGTCAAAGAAAATATTTCAAAAGACACCAGAAGGGGGGGGAAAACACCTTACCAATTAGAAGTGCAAGGTTAGAAATTATATTGGACTTCTCCCCAGAAACAATGCAAGCAAGAAGAGAATAGAGAAATATTTATAGGGTTGAGAGAAAAAAACCTACCTACCCACCTAGAATTCTGTACCCTGCAAAATTATCCTTTAAAAGGAAAGGAGAAATAAAGACTTCCTCAGACAAACACAAATTAAGGAAATTTGTTTCCAGTAGACCTGCTTTGCAATAAGCGTTTTAAAAAGGTCTTCAGAGGGGAAACAAAGTTCTTCAGAGAGAAGGAAAATGATATGTTAGAAATTTGAATCTACATAAAGAAAAGAAGAACATTAGAGAATGAATAAGTTAACTTTTATTTGTCTTATTCTTAATTCATCTAACAGGTAACACTTTGTTCTAAATAATAACAGCAAGAATGTAGTCAATCATGTATGACATATATATGCTTATATATAAGTGAAATGAATAACAGCAATAATTCAAGGGATAGGAGGGAGGAATTAGAAATATTTTGTTACTATAAGGAACTTGCACTACTGGTATAGTGTTATTTGAAAGTGGACTTGGCTTAGTTAGAATGTATATTGCAAATTCTAAGTCAACCACTAAAAAAGTGAAAGAAGAAGTATAATTGATATGTTAAGAAAGGAGAGAAAATAGAAGAATGCCTGGCACATAGTAGGATCTCAATAAACAGGTAACTATTTCTTTAACACACTGTTTATAAATTCAACGAATTGAATATAGGCCACTAATGTTTATACATCATTCTCAGTGCTTTGGGTCACACAAAGGAAACAGATAATGATCTTGTTTAACCTTAATCATTCTGAACCCCTTTCAGCTCTCCAAGATTTGATATCCAAATAATATTGCTTTTCTCCTAACCTTCTCAAAAATTTTAGAAACATAAGTTGGATCAAGTCTCAAACACAAGAAGAAAAGCATTCATGGAAAACAGGAAGCAGCCCTAGCTGGTTTGGCTCCGTGGATAGAGTGTCGGCCTGCGGACTGAAGGGTCCCGGACTCGATTCTGGTCAAGGGCAGTTATATCGGTTGCAGGCTCGATCCCCAGCCACGGTTGGGGTGTGTGCAGGGTGGGGGTGGGGGGGAGCAACCAATCGATGCATCTCTCTTACACGATGTTTCTCTCTCTGTCTCCCCCCCTCCCTTCCACTCTCTCTAAAAATCAACAGAAAAATATCTTCGGGTGAGGATTAATGGGAAAAAAAAGAAAGAAAGAAAACATAAAGCAGTTACCCTGTCTCTCTCTCTGGGGATTAGTGATGTATAAATCACATGTTATAATCCCGTTTCAGTTTTTGAAACATCATTTTAAATTTCAGACAGCAAACTTGTGAGTCAATATGGGCTAAATTGGAAGCATTAACAATGTGAAATTTTAATAAAACTCTGAAAGGGGTCCTGTATAGGAAGCACATTATAAAGGAGTTTTCTAGACAAAGAGAAAATGCACTTCTTACCTCCTACTAATAAGTAGCTGTTGGGAAACAGTGTTTTTGCTTGCATAAGTGCCCTTGCGTGGCCTGAGTGGAAGAGGTCAAATATCCCATCGGCATATACTCTGACGGGTCTGTCAACTGTGGGAGAAAAAAAGCATCATCAACAGAACTGCAGAATAGCAAATCCCAGTTACCTAATTCTCCCATCAGATATGGCACTGCAGGAAGGTTTACCTGGATAAAACACAAGGTCTACGTACCATCAATTTCATATTAATGCAGGAAATTAATTTTACAAAGAGGTTCTTGTGACATCAGAGCGGAGTACAAACATAGCAAAATTAAGACTGACCCAGAACACACACTTTAAGGCAACAGGAAAGACAAACACAGAGCACTGGGGACTTCTCTTGACCCAGAGTGGAGTCTCGGGAGTCTGAGCCAGCACATTCAGACAGACCAGGAATAACCCCAGGGTTGGCAGAGTCAGTCCAGTGTCGAGGAATGTCGAGGCAGGAGTAACGGAGGAGCTCAAGGAAAAGGACAAATTGACTTCATCCTTGAGTCTGGCAGTCTTGAATGAAGACCCCTGAGTCCTGTTCCCAGAGACAGTGTTGTGCAGGAGTAGCTCATACTGCTCAGAGAGACAGTGATGCACCTTTATTCCAAACTCCAATCACACTGGCAGCCTGCAATCAGTCTCAGTAGGAATATTTATACCACAGAAATTAGCAAATGCTACCAATCAGGGCTTAATAGTATGTCCCTCTGGAGGGCCAATTGTTAAGCATTTACCAGCATACTACTGCACAAGGGTCACTCCCTAATCTCTTTGGTATCCATGAGAGATGTGGGAGGGGGACGCACATGCCCCAAAGAGAATCAGGGTACAAAAGTTACATGTGGGGGTGGGCCTCAGGGTTGGAGGCAAGCGACCAACACTACGGTTCTGCCTAAGGAGAAAGGACAAGAGTGAAGAGGCCACAGCAGACACTCTGACAATGGCATACAGAGCCCTCAGAAATGCCATTCCACGAGGAAGAGGGACTCACTTCACCACAGCCCTCTGGAAGCCAGGAGACTGGCCATGCAGGCTAGCAAATGCAGGATGACACTTTTGTGTCATCCCAAAGACATATCCCCTCAAAGAAGAGGGCTCTATTGGGGGTATGGAGCTTGGGTGCCAACTTTTACACCATTCTGGACTCACAACGAAGGAACTACAAAGTGGAAATATGGCAAACTACAAGCTAAATATGGCAAACTGAACACACACACACACACACACACACACACACACACACACACACTCCTCCACTTCCTCCCAAACACAAGAATTACAGAGAAAAAAATGGAAAAGGTAGAATACCCCAAGGGCAGAGGAAATAAGGAAGGCAATGACAGTGAATGAGAGCGGTCCATAACATTTTGGAAAGTTGGTTTTCAAGTGCAGAGTGCCTACGGGTAGCCAGGCTCCGGAGTAGGGCATGTAGGCAAAGGGACTGCTGGTTTGTGTTTGTTATAAGCCTAAGAGTCTTATGGACTTTTTAAACCACACGCATGAATTATGTTAATGCTATAAAAATACATTTTAAAAAAGAAATCCATGCAAACTTTGGTTGAGTGATCTTTAAGACTTAGATTCAAAGTTGTGATTATTTCTTGATGTGGTACAAACTCATTAATTTGGAACATAAATGAAAAGAAATGTTACATTAATAGATTCAGATGGTAAAATATTTCTAATAAATTTAATTTCTCTAATAAAAAATCTTGAGGCCTTATGTCAGACAGGGAATTGCAATTATTTCCAATTATATACCATTTTGAACAAACAGAATTGCCTTCACAGGATTATCCTGTATTCTAAATAAGGCACAGTAAATAGAAAATGCTTTGAAATAACAAACTGCCTAATGAGGGATCCTTGGTTTCAATGCTCTTATTCAATTTGATTTCAATTGAGGAAAATTTGTTTTAAGTTGTAAACCCCAGAGGAAAGCAGATGGCAATTTTGCAGAACTTTTCCTTATTGATTCAGAGGTGATCAAGATAAATGGATTCAGGAAGCAGGGAGGGAAGAAAAGTAAAGAAAGATGGTATAATTACCGAGAAAAAGGCCATTTAGGAAATCTTTTAACAGTATTTGTGCAGTTGATTTTGCAATAAGTTCACGTTTACAACTGTAATGTGTCAGCAGTTTCCAGACTGGGAAACTCTACAGGACCAAAAGCAAAAAAAAGAAAAGAAAAGAAAAGAAAAGGAATCCTGCCTCTTCAACAAATAAACTTCAAGAAAAAAAAAGAGAAAGAGAAAAATGGAAGGAGGACCTGCAGATTAGAAGGAATTTAGAAGACATATCAATGTATTGTAGTGTATAGACATTATTTGGATTTGGGTTCAAACAAATTACATATAAATGATGATGTAAGATAACTGAGAATTGTAACACTGAATATTTGATGATATTAAAGCATTACTGGTAATTTTTTAGGCGAGATAATGGTATAGTGATAATGCTTTAAAAATAGTTATTTTATAGCCGAAACCGGTTTGGCTCAGTGGATAGAGCGTCGGCTTGCGGACTGAGGGGTCCCAGGTTCGATTCCGGTCAAGGGCATGTACCTGGGTTATATATATATATATTCACAACTATTTATAAATGAAATGAATGATAGGAAGCCCTATCATTCAAATAATTCAAGAGGAAAGAATAGATGGGGCATGCATGGGGCAAGACTGGCCATGGGTTGTTGGCTGTTAGGTATGGGTAACAGACTCATGAGGTTTCATCATGGTGTTTTACTTTTGTGTATGTTTGAAATTCTCCATAGCAAAAATGCTAATAGAATGTAGCTTTTTAAAGTTCGTTCGTGTATTTATTTGTTTTAATCCTTTGTTTGAGGGTTCCCTGGACATTCTTGTAGGTATCTGGGGACTCACCAGAGCATCTATTTTGGGAATATTGGCCTGTGAAGCAGAAGGTTTGGCAATTAGCACAAGTCAGAGCACAGCTATTCCATGGCCGTGGTTTAAGAACCTTAAGCCAGTGGTTCTCAACCTTCCTAATGTCGTGACCTTTTAATACAGTTCCTCATGTTGTGGTGACCCCCAACCATAAAATTATTTTCATTGCTACTTCATAACTGTAATGGTGCTACTGTTATGAGTTGTAATGTAAATATCTGACATGCAGGATGTATTTTCATTGTTACAAATTGAACATAATTAAAGCATAGTGACTAATCACAGAAACAATATGTAATTATATATGTGTTTTCCAATGGTCTTAGGCGACCCCTGTGAAAGGGTCGTTCGACCCCAAAGGGGTCGCAACCCACAGGTTGAAAACCACTGCCTTAAGCCATCTCCCAATGATTTCTGCCCGCTGGTGTTGCACCTCTATGTGATCCCCCTTCGTTTGGAGTGGGAGTGGGACCTGTGATTTGCTTCTGATGAGTCCAAAGATGATAGCTGGCACTCCCATGATTATGTTACAGTGTACAACTTGGTGGTTGTGAAGAAGCAAGCTGCCAGAATGGGGCAAGATGGCTGTGGCCTAACAGAAGACTGCGTGCCCTTGATCACGGCCACCGGCTGGATTTACAGCTAAAATACTGTGCAGCCAGCTTGAAAAAAAAAAAAAAAAAACCACAAGAGAAGTGAAGCTGATTGGGCATATTGTATCTGAGGAGCATTGAAGAAACAATGTGGAGAATGGTAAGAGAAGGGGAGTCGCCCAGAAAGGGCAAGCCCCCCTGGAGCTGGTGCTCAGCTGAGAGGCTGATATTGGCTGCAAAGCTCCCTCCCCTTGGGAGTGTGGGCTCACAATTCCACGCAGGGATCCCAAACCTGGAGCAGCAGAGACTGGAAAGAGGGCTCGTATGGCGGTGGGCAGAGGGAACCAGGGAAACTCTGTCTGCCTAGGAGGTTGGGCTAACCCTTCCCTTCCCAGTGAGAGAGCACACCTATTGTTAGCAGCCTGGGCCAGAGAGGGTCACCCTGGGCTCGGACTGCAGGAAAGGCTGCGCTGCAGTGTTTGGCTCCAGAAATAAGGGGCCTGAGGGTTGTACCCAGCAGTGACTTTGATGGACCCTCTGCTTTCCTGAAAGGCATTGTGCAGAACCCTGGACAGTGACTAAACTGTGTGGCGTGGGGGAGGAGGAGTTGGTGGCAGGGCAGATCGGGGATTTTTGACTTGTGCTATGGAGCGTTGGGGGTACAAGTAGAGCTGGGATTCTCGACCGACCCCCCCCCCCACACACACACACACTTTACTGAGACCAGCTGTGCAGAGAGATCTGAGTCCTGTGCAGGGCTGACTTTGTAACCCCTACTGCTTGGACCTGTGGCACAAGGGTGCCAGGTCCTCACAGAGCAGGGATATTTGGATGGTATCCCCTGGGAAGGCTTCTATTGGGGAGATAGATGAGCAAGAGCTGGGCTTTGTGACTACATTGTGGGGAGGCTGATCAGAGCTCCCTGGAAGTTCAGCCAGTCAGTCCTGGGAGGGAGAGACAGAGCAACATGTCCTCCTGCTGCAGGCTTGGGAACATAAGCCCCAACAGGAGACGGTTTGAATCAGCTCTCTGAAGTCCCAGATAGCCCCACTGGTGCAGTTCGGTGTGTGTGTGTGGTGGTGGTGGAGGGGGGGTGGTCGGGAGAACAGCTCAGAGCAGGACATCCCAAGAGTGAGACCTTCAGAGGCTATTGTCTGGGACCAGGAGAAAATGCTTAAGCCCCTCCTGTGGGCTGAGCTGGCAACATTGTCAACTAGAGACTCTTTGGATCAATCCCACTAAGGCCAGGGCAGCTGCAACTGCTCATGTGGAAAAGGGGGCAGGCTGTACCCAGCCTGAACCTGCACCAGGCCACCTTAGGGGGAACCGGAGTTGGAGTCTCTGGTAGAGACTGAGGAGTTCGGCTTTGAAGTAGAGACTAATTTCCCCTCAGAGTGCCTGATGGTGTAATCTCTAAGCAGAGGGCCCACTGGCCCTAGCTAGGCTAGCCTGGCTCCACTGAAAGACTGTCTTTGGAAGATAGTGGAGGAAGACCAGGCAACCTCAGGGGGCAGGTGGAGTAGCTGACATGTGGAGGGGGACCTCAGAGAGCCACACACTGACCACAGCTATAATAGG